TGCTATATACCCAAAAATTTAACATTTTGGCAATTTTTTCTGACAGTGTAAGCCCTGCCCTTTTTAAGTCCAACATTTCATGCTAATTTACATGCTTATACTATTTCTATGGTGGGTAATATTAGCTGCACAGGTGTAAACAGCTAATCCACACATTCACGCTAGATGAGGCGCTGATGAGACACTGCGGCGAAACCTTCGAGTTCACTCATCACCTCTGCAGTCAGATGGCTGAGAGGGTTCGTTTACAGAGGCGTGGGGGAGACAGCGTGTCACTGGGGGTTAAAACATCAAGAAAGTCTGACAACAGTCAAAGAGCAAACGGAAGGAGGGAACATGAATGGTTGCCTGGCAACAGAATTAGGCAGTTTTCAGCTTTGGTTTCCAGTCAAAAAGAGACATGCTTTGCTTTCAGTGTCCATATAGAGATTGTCACCTTTCATTTAGCAAGCGAATGTGCATGAATGTGTGTGCACCAGGGCTGTATCCACCATAATCAAAGCAGGAGGACGTTTCCACCCCAGTTTTAGATTAGTAGGCAAACGGTATGTCTTTCACAATGACCGAAACCTAAAATGCTACCTTTGGGCTACCCAGTCTTGAAAATGTAGGTGTTTATAAGGTGGTCAAAATTGAAAATGTGTAGGTCATGGCTGTGATTTCAGCGTTGTGCATTGCAATCAGGCTGCACTATATACACTATAATGAATGTCTGATGTGAGAAACTGTTTGAGTGAAAGATTTGTTGTTTTCATGAGACAAGCCAGTTAGAAAGATGGAGGGGGGAAAGATTGAGAGTAATTACTCTGTAGAGAGATAAAAGAAGACTGAATAAGGAGGAAGGAGAAAGACAGCAGTGATTTTGGAAGGACGCAATAAAAGAAACAATGCTGGGCTATAAAAAAAAAGCAAGCCAGAGAGAGAGAACATGTTAGAAAGAGGAGATAGATAGATGAGAAAGAGCTTGCTACCAAGCGGTCAGTTTTACACCTCAGGTGGAGCCCTGTCTTCATGCCACTGTCAGACTGTGTGTGTTTGTGTGTGTGTGTACATTCACCCTGCACTGCAAGCGCTTTTCATTAGCTTCATTTTCACATAACAAAGCAGCAGTCGCAGTCTCCTCTTCACTATAGCTAGCAGAGCCCCTCTCTGCCAATAGCTGTCCAAAACCTAGCAAGCTGCATAATGATTGTTCCAAAATGTAGGCAGCAATATTATGCCTCACTTTGGGCAAATTATAAAACAGAATTACATGTATCCTTCCCTTAAAAAGCTATTTCAGAATGCATTGTGACAAACTCTGTGAGAAACAAAAATGGTGAATGAGTCAAGAAATAAATACCTATATTTCATTCAGTATTGCATAGTATTGATTAAAAAAAAGTTAAATAAAATCAAAAGTGTACTCTTTTAGGCTGCCTTATATTTTGTGTGCTTTTAATGCTTGTAAGAGTATCACGTTGTTAGCTTAGCAACATGCTAACCTCACTCTCTTAAAGTCTCTCGTGTGCTTCACGTGAGGAATTCTTTATATGGTGTGTGTCACACAAGTTTATGTAGAGCATTCTAAATCAGTCGCTTATGTGGTTACATTTCTATTAGGATGATGCCTTAGGGCCCATTCACACAGGACAGAATTGAACAGAAGGCACTTTTATAGCAGCATTAACTCCCATACACCTTTGCTAATGGGTAGCCTTCTTGACATCAACTACTTTTGGGAGTTTGTTGTTCTGGCATTTTGCTAATTATTATGTGTGCAGTTTTAATGAGCTGATATAATTTGAAAGACTACATGAAATATTTGTATTTTTTAAATGTTCATTTGTCACACTGTTGGACCATTTAAAATGAAACCATTAAAGGCAAAAAGTATAATACTTGGCTTCTTAAACATACTTTTCCATACACTTTTTATGTTTTAAACTAAAATACTGATATTAATTAAAAAACCTCATGGACATGCATCAACTACCCTAAAAACACTCCATATGCTTATGCGTAAGCAGTACTTATGTTCATTCGATTGGGCCATTGTTTTAAAACCGACGTTGATTTACAGTGCTGCATGGTGTAAACTATTTTATCTTGACATCTTAAAAATGACACGCTTGTGGTGTGAGACATGCTGTAACGGACAAAGATGTCTGCCAATTCCATATTTCCCATAGACCAACAATTAGTGCAGACAAAACGCAAGAACATGTCCTGTGTGCACAGCCCCTCAGAAGACAGCTGCCAATGTGGGCAGTACACAGCAAGGCAGCACACTAGCTCTCTTTCTCTCCCTCGTTATCTGTTTTTTTTTCTGTCAAGGCTGTACAGCAACTCCATACGTTCATTGCATTCATGAAAATCTTTCGAGCTGCCTAAACCCACTAAAGTTAATCCTAACCTGCCTTTCATGCGAAGACCGTCTTTATAGCGCTCTACGCTCCCACGACGGAAAGCCTCATCTGCTTTTATAGTGTGGGATGAAATGTGTTATGGCTCATATTCTCGTTCATACTCCTTTGAGAACAGTTAGAAGCCGTGAATAATCTCTTGAAATTGCTTCCATTGTGATTACAGCGCAGGAAGTGTAAAGCGTTCTGGTGGAGTCGAGTCTTCCTGCTTTGCTACCTGTATTTCAAATTAGCATATCATTTGGGTGAAATTAATTTATGTAGATTAGTCCTAGTTGATTGTTGGCTGTCTAATCAGATTGTGTGTTAGTGAATGTGAGCGTGTGTGTGCGTGTTAGCCCCAGTTCCTCATACGAAGCCGGTGGTTTACGTGCTATACGCCCCAGATTTGTCTCTCTGTGGTTTTTCAGCTCTTTGAAGCACGTTTCTCTCTCGCTTCCCTGCAATTCTACATTCATTATAGGGGCTTATGAACATGCCCTGCTATTACATCTTGCTTTCAATGTTCCTTTTAATGTTGTCAACAGGGTTCAAAATGAACACTTGCCCAGCTCTAACTGCAAGAAAGAAAAAAAACAGCTTTAATGAGTTACTCAAAAATAACAAAACATTACAATTTCATTGCTGGAAGATTTTCTTAATTCAGCCACATTTCGTACACAGTATGTCTAGTTATTTTGTCTATTTTTGTTGAATGGAAATCAGAATCAACCATCATGCATATCCGAGCACAGCAGTGGGGTTTTTGTTCCTGAATGAATCAGAGTGGTTTTTGAGTCACTTGAGTGAATGAGTGAATTGACTCACTCATAAAGGCAGTCATTCCTGAATGAATCTGTGTTTTTGAACAAATCAATTAAGTGAATGATTCATTGACTCACTCATAAAGACAGTCACTTGTTTCATTCTTGTTTCATTAAATCATTGTTAAATGAGTCAGTTGAGTCAAACATTCAATAACTTACTCGTAAAGATAGTTGCTTGTTTCTATCAGTATTTTAAACAAATTGATTAAGTGAAAGATACACTGACTTAGTCATAAAGACAGTCATCTGTTTAATTCCTGAATGAATGAGTGTTTCTAAATGAATCAGTTGAGTTAATAATTCAGTAACTTATTAATAAAGATATTTGCTTATTTTGTTCCTGAATGAATCAGTGTTGTTGAAGGAATTGGTTGAGTCAATAATTGAATGACTCACTCATCAGGACAGTCCCTTGTTTCATTCCTGAATGAATCTGTGTTATTGGATTAATCATTTGAGTCAATCATTCAATAACTCCTGTCCTGAACGAGTATTGTTGAATGAATTGGTTGAGTCAATTGCCTTCTTCTGCCATAACAGTGTAATATATCGAAAGAATCGCGAAAAAATCACTATCACTAATGTAGAGTGCATTAAAATATGTTATAATTTTAGAAAAGCCACTCAGCTAATTAAATTCAAGGCTTAAGTGTATGCTTTATATGTATCTCAGTTGCTATACATATGCTGCTACAAGTAAAATGGGACCCTTGTCATCAAAAACAACACCAATAAATACACAATACCCACTGACTGAAACAACAGCTATCATTCATCTTGCCCTCCCCCATCTACACAAGCTGTGATGCTTGTTGGCGTGTCTGAGTCAGAAAGCAGCTAGGCGGAAAGGGAATATTGATGGGGAAGGCTGGGCAGTGCTCGCACCTTGATGCAGATATTAAGCAGATCTGTAGGATCTGAGTAAGGGAAGGCACCCTGCTGTGAGTGACTCATTTGGACAGTCGTGGTAGACTAACTGTGAATCTTGAAAAGGAGATCAGCTGTTCAGAGATTTCAAAAGGGCCGTCTGTCCGCAAGTGCTGTTTCTGATCTGTTCCTCGCCGCCCTTCTGTTTCTCTCCTCGCCCCATGCCTCCTTTTCTCAACCTCCACCAGTTTCCTTTCTCCTACTGTGTTTCCTCTCGTCCTTCAGGAACCCCTCTCACACTCATCTCACACCCCTGAACAATCACTCTCCACCCTCTGTTTTCACACTCAGCCATTCCTCCTCTGATAATGCCTCTCTCTTTCTCTCATTCTGCAGGTAGAAGAATGGCCCTCTTGTTTATTCTGTCGCTACTCCTCTGGTCTTTTTCACTTGCCGTGGCCTCCCGTAATACAACCGAAGGTAATGGAGAGAGCTGAAGCCTGTGTGTTTTTTATATATATATAATGTTGCATATAGGAATGAATTCATAATAATATAGGAAACAAAAATACTTAATACTATTTTTGGTAACATATTAAAGGGATAGTTCACCCAAAAATGAAAATTACCCCATGATTTACTCACCCTCAAGCCATCCTAGGTGTATATGACATTCTTCTTTCAGACGAATACAATCAGAGTTATAATAAAAAATATAACGCTTCCAAGCTTTATAATGGCAGTGAATGGGGGTCAAGATTTTGAAGAAAAATAAAGTGCATCCATCAATCATAAAAAGTGCTTCACATGGCTCCGGGGGGTTAATAAAGGCCTTCTGAAGTGAATCAGTCCGTTTATGAAAGAAAAATATCCATATAAAACTTTATAAACTGTAATCTCTTCTAGTGGTTCAACGGATCACAAATCTCACGGTTCGGATCACATTACAGTTTTTGACCCACGGTTTGGATCATTTTTCAGATCTGCAAGAAAAGAAAACTATTTCAATTTAACTTGCTTTCCATTTATTACTTAAAGAGTTAGTTCACCCAAAAATGAAAATTCTGTCATTAATTACTCACCCTCATGTCGTATCAAACCCGTAAGACCTTCGTTCATCTTCGGAACACAAATTAAGATATTTTTTATGGAATCTGCATAGACAGCAATGCAACTGAAATCTTCCCAAGTCCAGAAATATAGCATAGAGAGCTGTACAATAATCCATGTGACATCAGTGGTTCATTCGCAATTATACGAAGCTACGAGAATACTTTTTGTGTGCAAAAGAAAAAAAAAAGACTTTATTCAACAATTTGTCTCCTCCGCATCATCCTGTAGAGCCATTTTGGAGAGTATCAGCTGGATGTAAACAGCGTATGCTGTTCTGTGTCAGCTGCGTCACACAGATACGCTGTTTCCGTTCAGATCAATTCACAACAACGTAGGAAACAGATCTGGCGGGACACAGCTGACACAGAACAGCATACGCTGTTTACATCCAGCTGATACTCTCCAAAATGGCTCTACAGGATGATGCGGAGGAGACAAATTGTTGAATAAAGTCGATTTTTTTTTTCTTTTGCACACAAAGTATTCTCGCAGCTTCGTATAATTGCGGTTGAACCACTGATGTCACATGGATTATTTTACAGATCTCCTTGCTACGTTTCTGGACTTGGGAACATTTCAGTTGCGTTGCTGTCTATGCAGGGTCAGACAGCTCTCAGATTCCATAAAAAATATCTTAAAGGTGCCATAGAATGGAAAACTGTATTTACCTTGGCATAGTTGAATAATAACAGTTCTGCACATGGAAATGACATACCGTGAGCCTCAAACACCATTGTTTCCTCCTTATGTAAATCTCGTGCATGCAAAAGACCACTGAAAAATAGGCGAATCAGAACATAACACTGACTGTGACGTTACAGCCAGGATCACTAATAGTTACGCCCCCAACATTTGCATATACCCGCTCATGTTCTATGCCAGCCGCCAGCCGAACCTGCACAGCCAAATCATCAGAAGTTCTGCAGATATTGTGAAGAAACAAGCGAAATATGATAATAGCGAAAATGGCAGCTCATGGAAATAAATGTAATGTCCCAGGCTGTGCAGGGGATGTGATGTGCAGGGATGGGTTGGTGTCTGTATTCAGAAAGGCACGGAAAACAAATAACTAATAAAATAACGCGAGCCACTAAAGGGACATGGTTAGCTGCTTGCTAGCGGTAGCCTGTTACATTACAATACATAAGATTTCAATTACCACATAAAGAGAGTAAGGAGAGATGACTGAGGATGATGGCAAATGATTTACAGATCCTGAGCACCACTGACAAGCATTTGATCTTGTAAAATGTGTGGTAAGTACTGCCGCTGTAGTTTACACAGAGCACGTGCGATCGCAAATCTCGAAAGTGAAAGTAAAAAGCGATCATGCATTCGAAAGCAGTTTCAATGCCCGCATTTTATATACAGTATAATTACCCAACGATATAACTGAGAGAGAAAGTATTTAAATATATATTTTCCCTGTGTTTCCTTCCTGCTGTGTGAGCTACTGAACTGTGAAACAGCCAATCAGCTCAACAATATTATTCATGACCCTTCCAAATAAGGTAAAAACAGACCATTTCATTCTAGGGACAAATCCTAGGGTAAATGGACATGTAAAACCATTTCTGGAGATTTTTTGCCCTTACATAAGCCACATACCTTCTATGTAGATATCAGAGAACAAATAAATGAAATATTGTATCAATGCATTCTATGGCACCTTTAATTTGTGTTCCGAAGATGAACGAAGGTCTTACGGGTTTGAAACGACTTGAGGGTGAGTAATTAATGACAGAATTTTTCCTTTTAAGACCTTATGCACGGATCCGATATAATGATACACATCACATCCGATTTCTTTCTCAGCTGTTTTCATTCACTTGAGACATAACTGACTGTGTTTACCTGAATGATTGTCGAGATGTGTATTTTGTCATAATTTTATGTGTATGTGTCTGTTCAGAGGTTTCAGAAGAGGATTCAGTTCGGTGTTCGCGCGCCGTCTGAAACGCGTGTGAACACTTCATGTGTGTGCGGCTGTGCGCGTAGAGAACAGCGCGCGAGTAACGAATCGAGTTCCCTTTCGACTTTTCTCTCAGGAATTGTTTAAAATTCGCTTGCTTGTGTAAATACGAACAACTAATAAACTTATACTCTATTATGGTTACATTTTGCAATTAATCCTTGGTCCGTATGGATCACGGATCAACTACGATCCGTTTAACCACTAATCTCTTCCAGCTCCGGTGAAAAGTGACAAACGTGGAAGCACAGAGGAGAGAGCAAAACAAAACACCGGTCACAAATTATAAGTTCAAAACAAGGATTTGTAAACACACTGGACACTGTTTTTCCTTTGCTGTACCCAAAACTGGGCTCTCACGATACTAGCATATTCTCCCTGAAGTTTACGCTACGCTTACATCCTACGTCATCCGCTGGACGCCACTCTCTTGTGAACGTGATTATGACAGTTAGCGGAAGCTAGAGATTACGGTTTATAACATTTTAAACATGAATATTTTTCTTTCACAAACACATCGCTTCACTTCAGAAGCCCTTTATTAACCCCCTGGAGCTGTGAGGAGTACTTTTTATGCGGATCAACTACGATCCGTTTAACCACTAATCTCTTCCAGCTCCGGTGAAAAGTGACAAACGTGGAAGCACAGAGGAGAGAGCAAAACAAAATACCGGTCACAAATTATACCGGTCACAAATTATAAGTTCAAAACAAGGATTTGTAAACACACTGGACACTGTTTTTGCTTTGCTGTACCCAAAACTGGGCTCTCACGATACTAGCATATTCTCCCTGAAGTTTACGCTACGCTTACATCCTACGTCATCCGCTGGACGCCACTCTCTTGTGAACGTGATTATGACAGTTAGCGGAAGCTAGAGATTACGGTTTATAACATTTTAAACATGAATATTTTTCTTTCACAAACACATCGCTTCACTTCAGAAGCCCTTTATTAACCCCCTGGAGCTGTGAGGAGTACTTTTTATGATGGATGGATGCACTTTATTTTGCTTCGAAATCTCGACCACCTCCAATTGTATTCGTCTGAAAGAAGAAAGTCATATACACTTAGGATGCCTTGAGGGTGAGTAAATCATGGGGTAATTTTCATTTTTGGGTGAACTAACCCTATATTCATTATTAAAAGGGCAGTCAGTAATATGATGTTTGCTTTCAGGGTTGCCAGGTCTAAAATTGCATCAAAAACATTCCAAATTCGCATTCCAGAGGGTCAAAACCTCGATCTAAATTGTTTTCCGTGGGGGCAGGGGATTTTGCTTCAAACAGCGGCTAAAAAAACATAGCAGTAGTATAAAAGTAGCCCAATTCCACAGCAAAACCTGGTTTGGGGAAGTTCCACTCAAAAAGACTAAAACAAATCATTTCAGATCACACAGTTCCGCTAAATAATCCTTATCCTCAGTTTGACTGAATGAGCTAAACATTTTCCTTCATATTCTATTTTTCAGACGTCAGGAGAATAATGTAACGCTTGGTATTTTAATGTGACATGATGATATAACAATAATGTCAATGGCAAGAGCTCTTCTCACTCCACTGCATTCTTTTCCTCCTGATGACTTTCTTTTTTCTTTTTGTATTCCACTGTAACAGTATGAAAAAAGATCACATATACTACACATTTGCTGTCTGCTCTCCCGAATTAATAAACTATATAAACCATGAATAATTAATTGAAATGCACTAAGAATCTCATGTTTTTCTCTCCAAATCATCATGTCTCTTTCCAGGGTTGTTTTCTAACTAATGCTTTCAAATATAATTGTTACTTAATATAGACATATACTACTCCAGTGAAATTGAACACGTCCGTAATATTGCTGTGGAAATGCAAACTTGGCAACAGTGTTTGCTTTGCACTGGCTGATTTGGTTGTCTTGTACTTATACTGACACCTAGTGCTGTGGATGCATCATGTAAAAGCATTTGTTTTTGGTTACCAGTGTCACTGTTAAAATTTGCAGTCAGCTATTATTTATACAGTTATTTATTTAGTTTGGTCATGGTTTAAAATGGCCTCCATAAAGTGACCCACTCCATGCAAAATAAAACCGCTTTTATTACACTACTGATATGACTTCATCTCATTATTTTAATATTGTTTATATATTGTTTATATGTTATAATATTTATTCATATTTTGAATTTGCTTCTTTAGAAAAAAGTTTCCATTTTAGTAATTTTGTTACGTGCTTTTGTCATTTTTATTTTTGAAATTATTATTATTATTCTTGTTTTAAAGATTTCTATCCACCTTTTTTCTAACCTAGCCTACTAGGTTTTAAATTATAGGAGGCACTTTGGGTTTGGGGAAGTTCCACTCAAAAAGACTAAAACAAATCATTTCAGATCACACAGTTCCGCTAAATAATCCTTATCCTCAGTTTGACTGAATGAGCTATACATTTTCCTTCATATTCTATTTTTCAGACGTCAGGAGAATAATGTAACGCTTGGTATTTTAATGTGACATGATGATATAACAATAATCAACAATCCCGAATTAATAAACTATATAAACCATGAATAATTAATTGAAATGCACTAAGAATCTCATGTTTTTCTCTCCAAATCATCATGTCTCTTTCCAGGGTTGTTTTCTAACTAATGCTTTCAAATATAATTGTTACTTAATATAGACATATACTACTCCAGTGAAATTGAACACGTCCGTAATATTGCTGTGGAAATAATCGAGCTTTTGGGGTTATTCATGTTGAAAGTAATTTGTTAATGTTTTCACACTTTCAAATTTTCTTTTAATGATCGGTAGTTGAAGGGTGAGTAGAATAATGTCACCTCATCATACCCAGTTTTTGAAAATTCTTATTATTCATAATTGTTCATAGAGCGAATGTTTCGCAGTTTAAGTTACGCCTATATTTTTAGGTTCTTTTTTTCCCCATTTTAGTATTTTTACTTCAACTAAGTTCGTATTTTCATTTTTTAATATTCATATTTAATTTTATGTTAACCTTATTTCAATTACTGAAAACTATTTTGAATAGTTTTAGTTTTAGATTCAAACTGAAAATTCATGAGAACTCTCTTTTTTTTTCATTCACATTAGCAAACTAAAAGTTTACATCTTGATACACAATAGATGCAACATTCAGTTTTAGTTTTTCCATCTGATATTAACGTTTAATTTCATTTCAGCTTTATTTTAATTAATGAAAATGATTTTGTTTTAGTTAGCAATGAAAGCTCTGTTCGGGATAAGAGAAAGTTCTTGATCCCCAACTTTAATTGTGTGTGGAAGCATTTGACATCAGTCGGCATCTAGAATTGAATTTTTTCTCACGTCTCCTCCATCCAGCTCTAATTGCATGCTTCCTATCTCAGATATTACAAGCTTAGCTAGTCTGCCTTGCCCAAGCTGAACGACTAATGAAACACAATATCAACACTATTGGATGTCTGACAGCTATAATAAGTACATAAATCCTCACGTATATAATCCTCCCATGCATAATTGTCCTGTTCTATGGCCTGTTGAACAGCAATAAAAGCCTGTGGAATATTCCATGTCACAGTGCATCTCCTGATCTGTCATTATAAAGTCAAGCACATACACACTGCAAAGTTTTAGGAGTGATAACCGAACAAAGCATTAGCTATAGCCAAGGCTATGTGTCTAGTGGTAGTAAACAAGAAACATGGAAGCCAACAGTTTAACCTAATTGGTGTTAACTATTTTTGACATTTGACATTAAGACTAACGATGGAGACAGATTAGTCTACAGAGGTGCCATGTTTTGTTTATGCACATAAATCACTAATTTCACAGGATTTCATGACACTTTGGTTGTTACTTCCTCATGTGTTTAGGAGTAAATTCAGTTGTATAATATTGTTGTCAATGGTTGTAACCAAACTCAATGTGTACAGTGTAATTACACAAATAAGTACTAAGTAATATTAAGTAACTACTTGCTATAGGTTTAGGGTTAGCTCCTTCTAATTATGCATAATTTACTGGCTTCACTACATATAGTAAGTACGGTAGCACTTCATTTTATAGTTCTGTTCCACGTGTACATACTATTGTCACATGTTTATGTTTCCATGCCCCCATTTGGTCTTCCTGTTCCTGCTCCCTGATTGTTTATCATTTGTCCCAGGTGTTTCCTATGTGGTTTCCATTGATCCCAGGTGTGTCTTGTCATCCCATCTTCCTGTTCAGTGTATTTAAAGAGTGTTCTGTTCCCTGTTGTTTTATCCGGTATTGTTTATGTCAATTGTCCTTGTGCTACGTGTGATTCCCCGCGATATAATTAAATTCCTTGCTTTTGTACTCCTGGTCTCCTCGTTCCTCACTCCGTGTTCCTGCACCGTAGCAACCCATGACAACTATGTACTTATTATAGCAATTACAATAACCGGGTAATACTTACCCTGAACCGACCCCTAAGCCAAACCTAAACCCATATAGTTACCTTATACTACCCAGTACTTTCTTGGGTAAGTACAGTGTAAGTATGCTGTAAGTACATGTACTGTAAAATAAGGTGTAACTATAAGGACATGTAACATGTAACATATTACAACATCGGATATACTGTATATATGGTATTAAACTGTGGATTGTAGGCATTTTGTCTCTGCTCTCTCTTTAGTTTCTCTCTCCGTTGCTAAAATAAAGTGTTATCAAATATTGGTGTTTGACAGTAATTGTTTTGAAATGTTATTTGATTCAAATGTGAGATGTTGCATTCGTACTTTAACCCTGTAAAACCTGATGTATGAAATAATAGTCAGATGATATTTTTAATGGAAGTTTATTGAAGTGTTAGACTTAACGCAGTTTTATTCAGAAGCCCAAATTGAGCAAAAAATGCAATTTGGTGCAGTTGCACATTTGTATGTACATATATTCATCTGAGGCATTTATATACTGTTATAGTTTTTATTAATGTTTTGAATTTAGCTTATTTTACATTTTTCCGTTTTAATTTTAATTTGAGTAATTTTGTTACAGTATGTGCTGTAGTCATTTTTATTTATTTTTACATTACTAGATTTATTATTTAAATTATTTCTATTTCAGTTCGAAGTTTTTGTTTGTTTAGTTTTTATTTATTTCCTGTTAGTAATTCAGTTCAAACTTAAACTTATTTTGGTTATTTGTAAAGGCAGTATTTCAACTTTTACATTTTTTTTTTTAATCTAATATTTCAGTTTTATTTTATTTCGGGTTTATTTCCATTAACAACATTCCCTTTGATTCACACCTCTAAAAAAAATCAAACCTAGAAAGTGCCGTTGTTGAAGATGACCATCCTGACCTGTTCCATATACAGAACGGGATGAAGCATTCAGTAGAGGAGTGACAGCCATATTTAGCAGTAACGTGGACGTGGTCTTCTTGAATACAGTCGCATAAAATGCCAGAATACATGTTGTGCAGTGTAGGCTTGGCATTTCAAACGACTCTAGAGTCTCTTCAAAGCTGCGAACAGCGAGCCAATGGCAGCATTTGATTTTGATAATGCTGCTCATGTTTTTGTCCCTAAAAATACCCTCATACACAAAATGACTGTAACACACACACATGCACGTGGGAACAGTCGTGCTGGTCTGCCTTGGCCCCGGGTTCTGGGATTGACGATGACTGTAATTAGCTGCTGACACTGTAGGTGAAGCAGGCTGTAATAACAGGTTACAGCTACTCCGCTCTTTCATTTTGACAGCAGAGCCGTGAGCCCAGGGGACACTCAGACATTTACACAGATTAGAGGCATGAATGACTCTCATATAATGGAAAATTAGCGCTCTTGAGTTTACTAGTACTATATATGGATACATCTGTAGTTTGTGATTACAATAGGCTCTGATAGTGAAGCTACTAGTCTGTGAAGGTAGCTCAATTAAAAATTTTTGTCTTATATATATCCATCCTATTTCATCATAGTGGCAGGAATGGGAAATTGTCCAAATAAACGGCTCAGGCGGTCACTGGAGCTTCTCTCATGGCTGTCACTATTGCTTCTGCTCACATGTTCAGAAAGGAGAGTCCTCCATCTAACGGACAAAATGAGCGTCGCAGTTTGTGATAAATGGTGGTAGCATTTTCTGTGAGTGTATTAGTATTATTTCAAAGACATCCTTCAGAGAGCATGATTATCTTTTGATTATTTACACATCTTTTCCATCAGGTTGTGCTATCATTCGGCCGCCAAGAGACGGAGGGATCAGATACAGGGGTCTGACTCAGGAACAGGTGTGAAGATTTACTTTATTAGTAATTTATTATATTAAATGTGTGTATCTGTATGGGTCTAGGGGGATAGATGGACAAGTGTAAACTACTGTTGAAAAATTTTAGGTCGGGATTTTATGTTTTTAAAAGTCTCTTATGTTCACCAAGGCTGCATTTGTTTGATTAAAAATACAGTAAAAACAGTCTTGAGATATTATTACAATGTAAAAGAACTGTTTTCTATTTTAACATGTTAAAGTGTAATTTATTCCTGTGATCAAAGCTGAATTTCCAGCATCATTACTCCAGTCTTCAGAGTCATATGATCCTTCAGAAATCATTCTGATATGCTGATTTACTGCTCAGTGTTGAAAACAGTTGTGCTGATTTATTATTTGTGTGGAAGCGGTGTTAATTTATTTCAGTATTATTTGATGAATTAAAGTTTAGCATTTATTTGAATAATATTAAACGTCTTTATTGTCCCTTTTGTCAATTTAATATTGAATTTAGTATTCAATTTAAAATAAAGTATTAATTTCTCTCTGTCTGAATGCAGATCCGCAGTGTTCAGGTGTTGCCGGTGGATTATGAAATCGAGTATATCTGCAGAGGGAACAGAATGATCGTTGGACCAAAGGTCAGGAAGTGTCTCCCTGACGGCACATGGACTGACCTGAACCAGCGGAGCAAATGCTGTATGTTCAACTCTTCCTTTTGTTATCTGCAGAGGTCTAAAATGTGTCTAGATAAAACAGACTTGAGTGAAAGTCCATAGTTTCCATAGTTATTACTTTTTTATTATTATTTTTTTTTTCCTGTGCAGTAACTTTATACAACAGCCCGTTTAATCAAGTCAAGTTCATCCATCTTCACAAATAAAAGTAATTAAAACATTGCTTTAGGTCAGTGATGTGATTCCATAAACGTTCAGCTGGGAGCTTCATATCTTGAAAGCGCACTAAAAAAAGAGGAAAGTCACGATGACCTGCAAATGTACTAAATGAGGTCTAAATGAACTAGTAAGGAGTGTAAAGTATCATTTTTGACTTGGAAATGTGAAATGTGAATTAGAGAAGAAGTGTTTGGTTCCATAGATCCAGTGTTATTTATAAGATCCAGTTAATTATTTATATATACCGCTATGCTATTTATTAATATATTGAATACACTTTTATTTTTATATTTACAGTTTTCATTTCAGTTTAGTTTAAGTTTTAATTTTTATTTATGCAATTTTAGTATTTCAACTTAAACTTATTTTAGCTGCCAAGGCAACAAAAAATTATTTTGTGCAAGTTTTCATTTAATATTTTTATTTAATTTTATTTCAGCCTTTTCTCATTTTTAGTTAACAATAACAACAATGAATAGTACTCAAGTAAAGTACAGATTCTCCATCATTATGTTTAAATATAGTAAATACGTTAAGTACTTGACACTTCAGCTTTTCTGTTCAGGCCGTCTCTGTCTGTCTTAGACTTTTGCTAGTAATTCACAAATGACTCACAATTCATATCACAACCCTACAGGGCATTCAGTGCAGCTGCACGTGTTCATCAGGTACAGAACTGCATATATATTCAAAACTGTGACTATCAGTAATAGCTGATTATGAGTTATTCTTGGCTGTCGGTTTAGTCTGCATCTACATTCACCCGTACTCAGCACATGGCCTAGTTTTCTACATTTAGGAGACTATAACAGTATTTAGTTAATTTAGTTAACTGCCGACTTTGGTAGATCAGCAGACATGACTTAAAATATCAACACATATGTCAGATTTTTTTGTAGAATCACAAGTGTATGTTTACCTACCGTATCTGTCTAATTAGTTATTCTTGGCTGTCGGTTTAGTCTGCATCTACATTCACCCGTACTCAGCACATGGCCTAGTTTTCTACATTTAGGAGACTATAACAGTATTTAGTTAATTTAGTTAACTGGCGACTTTGGTAGATCAGCAGACATGACTTAAAATATCAACACATACAGTGGGTACGGAAAGTATTCAGACCCCCTTAAATTTTTCACTCTTTGTTATATTGCAGCCATTTGCTAAAATCATTTGCTAATTGAAATGACCTAACACTAACTGTACCTCAGATTGAAGTGACTAATGGTTATGGTGATGTTTGAAATGGAATATTAGCATAATGCTTAGTGTAGCCGACTCCAGGGGGCCGCGAGGGAGGGGGCTCAGAGAAAAATAAAAAAATAATAATATTAAACCAGTAAATAAATAATTAGGTAAATCATAATAAAACATATTTCAAATAAATAAATAAATAAATATACAATGCATCTAAAAATATAATACTATAGTGATTAGAAAATATATACACAATAGAAATGAAATGTTCTCCAAATAATGTTTTACACGTATTTAAAATATACATTTTCACAGTCTGTATACATATATAGCTGGCTTTTAAATTTTAGGATGGGGGTCTCCCGCATGAAAATGGTCATTATTGGCTGTCTGTGGCATATAAGAGATTGAAAACCCCTGGATTAGTGCATAGTGTGCAGTATACACTGTTCAGTGGCTGCTATTGTGAGGAATCAATTGCAGCAGTACGCAGAATACAGTGTAAGCTTTTCAGACCGTAGTGTGCTACACTGCTGTCACATGACCTCATTAATTCAGCATCTATTTCAGATATAAACCAATAATCATATTAAATCCATCAAGAAGTGTTGCATTGTGGGATATAGTACTCCATGAAGTGTGCTCTGTTGTCTGATACACTTATTGGCAGATGGAGTGCAGTAGGCCATCCAGGTTAATCATTCATGCAATACTATATCCCACAATACAATGCTGCTTGACTTAACCTTCCATTTCCAGTGCACAAAATATTTTGTAGCATTATAATTGATTTTACTGTCTCTTTTGATTTAGTTCCTCCTAGCTGAATATCTCACTGACCCTACACTTTTGAACATTAGTGTATCCTGAAGATACGGAAGAACAAGCAAGAGTAGTATACTATTCTCAACAGAATATACTATTATAGTCTTTTGAGGACATCCCCAAAATGGAGGTTTTGTCAGATTTAGCTAACGTCTGGATAAGTTTTGCAGCAATTTTGTCCCCAAAAGTAAGCTAGGTCAAGTACACACACACACACACACCCACCCACACACACACACACACACACACATATACTTAAACAAAAACCATACCAAAACAGCGATCACTTCAAACCTTTAAACTGTCCTGTGCTGTTCTAAAACGGCATTGACACAAAAGCGCTGAGGCATTTGACATAAATATGAAGTATTACAGATGGCCGTTGAGCATATTGTGCATTATGTAATCAGTCTCTCAGGGTGATATGTTCTGTTCTTGCCATTTTTTCATTGCTGAGAAGACAAAAAAATTATGGTAAGGCTGTATGCTTTTTTTAAAGGTAAAGTACCCTGTAAGGGAAACTTCCATTCCAGACTGCTCACATGAAACATAGATCCTAAATGAATATAAACCACCACCTTTTAGCATTAAGTCAACACAACAGTTTTAAAGCATCAATGAGGTGTTGAAGGATCAGTTTGCGAATAGCATATATTTGTGTAACGTGACTCTTCGCTGTGGTGTGTGTGTGCTCTTCAGTGATGCCGTGTGCGAGGGTGTGGACATCTCTGGAGAACGGCCGTGTGACGGTTCACCCTCCAGGCCCAGCGGTGGAGGGCACGATACTGCACTACAGCTGTCTGGAGGGTTTCATCTTGGTGGGCAGAAACAGCACTCATTGCACTAAGCTGGGCAAATGGGACTCACCCAAACCTGTCTGCCACTGTGAGTACTAGTGTGTTTGCATACTTTCAAACTCACATCAGTTTTATATTTTATTCATTACTTATAATTCGGTTATTCTCTTTCTTCTGTGTTATGCTTCTAATGTAGATGACAGACATTATACAGGTAAGAATGTTTTGTGTTCTTGTGTATACCAGTAGTGTAATTTTACTGAGGAAACATTGTTACTTTGCAATAAACTGAAACGTTATAAAAGGACTAATAATCCAGAAGTCTCCAAACCGAAGAATCCCACAACTTGGCTACAACTTCCATTTCCATTTTACACCAAATTCCCTAGAGGTGAATATTTTTGTCGACAGGTGGGACGTGTCCCCACAACGTTTTGCCAAAGTTGATTCTGTCTCCACCACTTTTTGGAAACTATTGAAAAAATAGGCATGCGGAAGGCTTATAACACATAGCAAAAGCATCTCCAATCTGTCATTCTTCATCATTTAATTCATTGGTGTAACACAAAATACATTTGTGACAGTCAGACAGGCCTGATCTGTAAACCTTGTCACGTACATATCAAGATTTATAAACAATATCCGACGTAATTATGTGCAACACTACTCACTCTGGACCATACACACTCTTTATTTGTAGGATCGAGATGAAGAAAAAAAAAGCTTTATATTTACACATTTAGATTGAATATACTACTCTAATGAATGAATGAATTAAGCACACAAATGACATGAAATAACTATCCAGATGTTTAGAAATTCTATACATTTAAGGCATAAATAGAAATAAAGATGCACTGCTTTTAGAAAAGACAAACTATGTGTGTTAATAACAGCAAATATTGCTTGGCTGTGAAAATTCTGCCTTAAAGTCCCCATGAAATAAAAATTTAAGTTTTTTGGGTGTTAGTATCAATATGTTAGTCTTAAGGTTATCTATAAGGCAGTGTGCTCCAAAACAGTGACAAAATTCTCATTTAGAAGATATAAGCATTCAAAGCTTGCAGTTCGTCACTTCCACCAAAACGGCTAAATTATTTTTTTTGACGTCACATCGTACTTCAGCGTCTCATCAAACTTTCTGTCCAATCAAATGCTCTCTAGAAGCTGAAGCCCCACCCCCTGCACTATAAAATAGATGCTGAAGCTACGGCTGAAATCGGTCACTTGTCCACAGTATTAGTATTTTCTGTACAGTGAATGGCACGTAGTGCACTATATAGGGGACAGGGAACGATTCAGACAGTGTAAATATGCTTTACATTGGGGCTAAAGAAGTCTGGTTTGGCGCTGTGTCACGCTAACCACCGCACCGCACACACACTCCGCTCCGGTCCAGAGACATGATAGCACAGAGCGGATCACATGCGCGAGTCGGTGCAGACCACAAAATGTATCGGAGCTATTTGAATTCTACACAGAATGCTATATTTTATAGCAATATGGATGAGATTGTGGCTGGCATACCCTGTCAAATGCGGCTTTACGGAGCTCAACGGCTCTGAACGGCTCTAGCACAAGCTGTGATATAAACGAATGCTATTGGCTATTTTAAAAAGGGGCGGGGCTGCTTGATATGTCCCGCCCTGTCTTCCTGTTTCAGTTAAACTGACGTCAACACATAGAGTAAAACTGTGTGTTTCTAAGCATTTCAGGGGACCTTTAACTTCTGTTCTATTTCAGAAATCTAAATTTCAGAGTCTAAGTTCAAAGAGAAAAAAAAAGTATCTGAATAATGATCATTGATGCAAACTTGATTCAGAGGATGGCTTAGCAACATACATACACTGCCGGACCCGTTCCACACCTACAGTACCACTGCTGCACATGCGCTGTTGCCGTTGTGCGGGTACTGTATATTACGTCCCAGTCACGAACAACAACCATAAAATGTGCACAAATGAGTGAGAACTGACACTGATGCCTGATGTTCTGTACAAATTAATTTATATGTACATATTTCCTGCTTTTAGCTACTTTTTCAGCGCATTCAGTAAAGGGAATCAGCGCACAATGTATGTGGTTGCCATGACAACTTCAGGCCCACCATCTCTGCCATGACCTAGTCCCCTCCACTTTTTAAGACAAAGATACACCAGTGCTTTTTAGCAACTAAGAACCCTTGAGTGTGCTTCGAATCTGTACTCACAGATAATATTAATGAAATACAAGGCCACTTAGGTGTACTTAAAAAGAGAGTATGCTTTCATGACACATTTTTTAAGACACATAAGTGCTCTTTAATCATTTCAAATTAAAATTTTCACTTTAAAGTACATTATTATTATTATGTAAATTACATTGTTTTAATAATCTTTTTGTTGTGCTTTAAAGAAATGCACTTATTTTGATTTGTTGACTAACATACTAAAACACATGTAGAGTACTTGATAATAATTTCAAATGTAGTGAATTATTCAATGTTACATTTAAAATTAGTATATTTTAAATGCACTAAATTGCAATTTCATCAGTACATTAATTACAAATACTGTATATTTGAATAGATGACATAAGTTTTAATATAAATTATATAAATGTACATTTACTACATCGGCAGTATCTTTTAACCAATTTAATTACATTTTATTTTAACAATTTTTTTGCTGTCTTTGAAATATGGTATGTTAATTTCAATTAAATAAAAATATATTATAATTTAAATTTATAAGAAATGCAATTAGCTGAATTTTAGAGTGCTTTTTGGCCCACTTAATTATACTCAATAAAAGGTACAAAAGCTGTCACTGGGGTGGTACCTTTTTTCTGAAAGTGTAATTAAGTGAGCCAAAAAGCACTGTAAAATTCAGCTAATTGCATTTCATATACATTTAAATTATTATATTTTTTTATTTAAATGCACTTAACATTCAGTTAATTATTGAAAAAGCTTTGCATTCAGTTCTATTCAGTACTATGTCTTCCTTTGCATAGAAAGTAAGCATTGTACAAATTAATTATTTTTTTTATAATAATATTAATTATTTTGGGCTGGAAATTCCTCTGGTTTTGAATCTTAAACGAGCACCAATTGTTTTATGAAACCATTTATTTTTCCAAGGAATTTATGGTGTTCATCCCTACCTGGCAGTGGCATTGTTGAGTGTAAAGAACTGTGAAGTTCCCCATGAAATGAAAGAGTAAGATGAAAATCTTCTCTTCTGTCAAAAGGGGGCAGCATTTCGTTCAGCAGTCAGTGAGTTTCTTTACTAACCTGAAGGGAGCAGCATTAGACAAGATAATTTTGGTAATGCAATACTAAAATCATGTCAGAAGATGGCAGTATTGAGTGCACAGAGACATCCTGTAAATGAGACTGTCTGTCATACAGCACTCGCCGATGAGAGCCCCTGTATGCTATGCATATGCATATGCATATGCTATACATGAAAAATTAATTTAATAACACCATAGGAAGCAGGATTGTATCGTCAAGAGGTGCATAATCCAACATGTCACCGCTTGAGATTACATGACGTATAGATTCCCCCACGGGACTGCATGACCTTGACTTCCACAGGGCCGGATCAAGGTGAATGAATTGTAGATACTTGTTCTGGATGTTTTGGCATGTGCGCGTGCATGACACTTTGTGCAGATCAGCCCGTGGTGTTTGCTAAATTGATTAATGGAGGTGTCACTGTCCCAATATGGCAGTGATGTCTGCACACTGAGAGAGAGGGTGATGGAGGGCAGGCCGATAGGAAATGAGAGAGGAGAGGAGGATGAAAATGAAGGAGGGGAAATGAGATGGAGAGAGAGAGGGAGTGAGAGGAGGGGAAAAGGGAAAAAAACAATGAGAGGGGACACAAAAGTAGGGGGTTGTGGGAAAAGAGAGATAGGATGATAGAGAAAAAGCAATTTAGGGGGAGGGATGGGAAGAGTAGATGATTTATGCGCTACATCTACTTAGTAAATGGTGTTTTTTCACAGTTTTTACCTGGCTGGAAACGCACTCCCAGGTCATCACATGCTTTCTGCCACTACCTGCCTCTGCCAGCAGCCATGATAACCTGGACAGCAGTGACTATACTGATCTATACGTACCTTTAAAGGCACAATATGTAAAAAAAAAATTATTAAAATATCCTAAAACCACTAGAACGGTTTTATATATTTTGCTGACTTCGAAACATTTGGGATAATGTAAGTATTATCCCAAATGTTTAGAAGAATGTTTAAATCCAGAGAAATAAGCAATTTTAACTAGTGACATGGACCGTGTCTATAGTGTCATTGTGTCGCCTGCCAATGACGTCATAACCCCTCGATTTCCGGTTTGGTTTTGTAGAAAACATGGAAACACCAAAGATGCTTTAATATGCTGTGCGTTTTATTAGACCGGTGACGACCGCACAGAGTAGCATTATAACAGAACTTTCAAATGTATCTAGTATGATAAAACAGCGCTGCTTTCTTCCGCTGCTTTCCGGAAGGAGCAGAAACGGTCGACTGTGGCATAATAAAAGCTCCGCTGCTTTCGAGCCGTGTCTCACGCTCGTTCAGCAGCCTCGTTTTGCTTTGACAGCTTTCCGCCTCACTCTGCTTCATACTACAACGTTAATAAATCTTTAATACATTAGCTCATCCATGAAGATGACAACTCCCATGATTCCACACTCAGTCACGGCGTCATCAAGCTACGCCTTTGTTTCTTTGTTTGTTTTGAATACGCGCCCTCTAGTGGCAAAAAATTACATATTGTGCCTTTAAGTGTTACAGATCACATTTGTACTGTCTAATTCATAATGTGTATCATTACTTTAAGGCTACTTTGGCCACAGACGGAAATCATTCATTTGCAAAAAATTAGCTAATCCATCTAAGAAGTCACATGACACAAAATGCTAATGATGCTGATGAGAATTGCTCAGTTAGCAACAAGGCAAAACACTGTAGATATGCCTAGTAACTGGCTATAACATCCTAGTAACTGGCTAGAACCAGCTTGAACACCCTAGCAGCACTGTACTATATAATTAAAGGGGTCATATGATGTTGCTAAAAAGAACATTATTTGCGCTATGAGACGAGATAACTTGACTAACCAGCAGACTGATCTCATTCACAGCATCTATATGTTGTTTTGGGCGTTCTGAAATGCCTGAGCAAAGTCTGTCTCAAAGTATTTCTGTATAATTACTGTCTTACACG